GCCTTCTGAGTAGTGAGGATTCCAAGCAAAGCCCAGATACCAGTGCCTGGCTGTGTTTTTCTTTGTGAGTTATGTAGTAAATCCTTTTGATTTAACAAAGGAAGTGGGTGTTAACTTTTATATTGTTGAAACACTAGAGTTTAATTTTTTGTCTTAATTGCTGTCTGTTATTTCTATTCTATGGGAGACCACCCAGAATGGACAGGTATTTAGAAAGATGCATAGGAAACAAAAAACAAATGGGGTTCATACACAGTATACCAGCACAGCTCTTCTATCTGTTTCTATTTCCATCATGTCTTCTCCTGTGTATCTGTTGCCTAGCCACACTCATAAAAAGGTTATTGAACACTGGAATATCCTGTATAAGCCAAGGTCTGCTCCAGATGCTTGCTGAAAAAGTGACTTAATAATTTTTACGAAGATTATAAAGGAATTACTTTAATTATTCCAAAAGTTTAATTTCCATTCTAACATCTCCCCCCTAGGGAGATTAAGCATCTTATCTTGGGATCTTGATTTCTTTTGTGTAAAACATTATTGATTCAGCTTGCCTCTAGCTTTTCCTTAGTTTATCTAGTGGCAAATATATTTAATATATTATATTTTGTATATATTTTAGATTACATTGGTTTTGTTTTATAGCTGTTTGGTACAAAAAATATTCTTCACTATAATATATCTCGATGTTTAGTTCTAAAAGTCTTATTTAATCTCAGTGTTAGTTGTTACTGAGAAGCCTTTATAGCTATAATCTCATATTTTATGATCCCAGGAAAACTTTTTTTAATTAAATTACAGTCAAAAGGCATGTTTTATTCTATGTTATTAAAACTGAAATTCCCTGAATCTCATTATATATTCCTACCATCTGCATGTTTATGATTGTTGTCTCAAGAAATCTTCCAAGAGTCTCAGTAATGATATAAATTCCTCAAATTTTATTACGGGATTTTTGTGGCTTTCCAAAACAAATGTTCTTATTTTAATTTAAAGGAACAGTAACTCAACTGTGATGGGTGCGAATAGGTGCTTTATTATATGGTCTACAATGAACATGTAGACATGGTCTACATGTAGGTGTGTGTATATATATATGTATATATATACATATGTATATGTATATATATATATATATGGTAGTCAGACTGGGTAAAAATCAATTTTAATGCAACATTTAATAATCATTATTCCTGCTTTTATTTACATAAATATTTCTGCTTCACTCTTTTTCCATATTCTTGTTAGTGTTCCCTAGTTATTAAAACGAGGTACATGCTGATAACTCCATAATGCATACCATATATCCCAACCAAATCCACCCCACTATTCTGTCCTTTATCACCATTCCTATCTTGAAACATATTTAACATGCTTTATTGTTCTATTTTCATAACTAACTATAGAATATTTCAATCATCCTTATGCTCTTTATTCCTTTATTTCTGAGGCTGAATGCTACTTGTCTATTGTTCATCTAATCAGTTATGCACACTATTTGATTCTTACCTGATAAACCCTACCTCAGGATATGTTGGGAGGGTTGTATTTGTCTCTTTGCCATTCCTGTAAAATTACCTGAGGCTGGACAATCTTTAAAGAGAAGTTTATTTAGCTCATACTTCCCCTATTGAATAGGGGGAAATCATCTTTTTAATATATAGTGCTAAGATAAATGAATGTCTCCATGTAAAATAATGTAGTTAGACTCCTACCACATGTTACCTATAGTCATTAGCTCAAAGACCTAAATACAAAAAAGACAAAACTATAAAAGTTTTAGAATTAAAGTTAGGTGTAAACCTTCTCGTCCTTGATTAGACAATGACTTCTTAGATAGTACACCAAAACCATGAGCAAGAAGTTAAAAAAATAGATAAATTCTACTTCTCTAAATTAAAACATTTTTCTTCAAAGGACACTATTAAGAAAAAAAGGAACTAGAAGCATAGCTCAGTTGGTAGAGGGCTAACCAATGAGTGAAATGTCAGATACTGAATTTGAATTTCTGTTTCAGACAAAAGAAAAAAAATGAGAAAAGGGAAGGAATATGGAACAAGAAAGAGAGGGAAGATGAAGGAGGAGGAGGAGAAGGAGGAAGAGGGGGAGGAAGAGAAAGGAGGAGAAAGGAAGAGAAGGAAGAAGAGGAGGTGGAGAAGGAGGAAGAGGAGATGGAGAAGGATGAGGAGGAGAAAGAAGAGAAGGAGATAGGGAGGAAAAGGTGGTGGAGGAGGCAGAGGAGAAGGAGGAAGAGGAGGAAGAGAGCAGCAGCAGCAACAGCAGCAGCAGCAGCAACAACAACAACAACAACCTGGGTACCAATAGCTCATGTGTATAATCCTAGCTAGTAGCTAATTGCAGGTTTGAGCTCTGAGGCTCTTAGTTCGAAGCCACCCTGGTCAGGAAAGCCCACAAGACTTTCCTCCAATTAACTAAGAAAAATGTGAGAAGTGGAGCTGTGGCTCATGTGGTAAAGTGCCAGCCTTGAACAACAACAACAAAAAAAACTTAGGGACAGATTCAAGGCTCTGAGTTCAACCTTTAGGACTATGGCTAGTGAAAAAGAAGGAAGGGCAGGTGGAGGAGATGGGGAAAAACAAGACATATAAGGATACAGGTGGACCTGTTGCAACAATGAGAAGTACAAGTTGTCATGTCGAAAACGAGCTTTACAATGTTGGTGCGGGGGGTGGGGGGGGGAGGATTGGGACTGAGGGGGGAGGGGGGAGGCTGGGAAGGGATGTGAAGGGTAAACAAAGGAGGAGGCTGCAATGCTTGGTAAGAAATGTATGCATTATCCTGCCCATGTAACTGTAACCCCTCTGTACAGTATGTTCACAAACAAAATTAAAAAAAAGAAGGAAGGGCAGGGCAGGGCAGGGCAGGGAAGGGAAGGGCAGGGCAGGGCAGGGAAGGGTAGAAAAGGGAAGGAAAGGGAAGGGGAGAGAAGACAAACCACAAAATGGGAGGGAATGTTTATGTCATATATTTGATAAGGGTTTCATCTTAAGGAAATATAGACAACTCTTACAACCGAGTAATTTTTTTAAAAAATGAGATCTGGAATCCAAAGGCTTATGCCTACAATCCTAGCTACTCAGAAGTCTGAGATCCAGAGGACTCCCCCACCCACCCCCCACACCCCCAGATGTTATCAGCTTTTTCGCTGAATGCTAGCACTATACTACTCTAAGACACAACACTACTTCTGTTTTTCTGGTGGCTAATTGGAGGTAAGAGTCTCACAGACTTTTCTGCCCAGGCTGGCATTGAACAGCAATCCTCAGATCTCATCCTCCCTGGGTAGCCAGGATTACAGATGTGAGCCACTGGTATCTGGCTGAAGGATCAAGTTTTGAAGTCATCTCAGGAAGAAAAGTCGATGAAATTCCATCTTCCAAATAACCAGGCAAAAGCAGAGCTGGAGATCTGGCTGAAGTAGTGAGCCAAGCAAGTAGGAGTTCTCACTGATTTCAAATAATGTCCAATTATTATTTCCAATAATGCCCAAACTAAACAAACAAATAAACAAAAGATTTGAATAGAAAGTTCTTCAAGAAGAAATAAATATAGACAACCATTACAGGAAAAGATGTACAACTTCGGTCTTTAGGAAAATGCATATCCAAACATCCAAACACCACCACATACAAGGATCCTTCCCTCAGGGTCTATTCCTATGAAAACAGAAAATTTATCATGGGTAAATTTAATTTTGCAATATCAGAAATATATTTTAAAGATAAATTGTTTGAAAAAAATTCATTTCAAAAATGTCATTCTATGTTCCAATACTGTTCCCTGCAAATTCTTTATTATAAGCTGTTTTGTTTTTCCCTCCTTTAGAGTTACAAACAGTTATAAGATGACAAATGACAATACTGGGAATGGCAGTGGCTAAAGACTGCCTTTGTAATCCAACTCCAAGCAATAGTGGCAAGAAATACTTTCTTTTATCTATGTTGTGTTTGAAGTCAAATCACTGATAACAAAACATCACATCCTTGCCAAAGGTATGTATGCAAAGTCACCTGATTTACTCTGAGGCTATGCAGAAGAACTTCAACATGTAAACTTAATAGTTCCTGGGAAAATAGGATCTTGAGTTTGCTTGCCTCCCAAAGATGACAGTCACTGTAATTTTTCAAACTAAGTTCTGAATAGTTTGTTTGTACTGATTCTGGAGCTTGAACTCCCGGCCTGGGCACTATACCTGAACTCTTTTTGCGCAAGGCTAGAACACTCTACCTATTTGAGTCAAAGCTCCACTTTCTTTCTTTCTTTTTTTTTGATGGTGGTTAATTGGAGATAAAATTTTCATGGATTTACTTGCCTGGTCTGGCTTTGAAATGAACTTCTCAGCCTCTTGACTAACTAGGATTACAGGTAAGAGCTGTGCTTTTAACAGGTTTTAAATGGGGCCTAATAGTCGTTTGTCCTTGGAATGACTGGAGCTGAACAGAGACTTTCTCCTCCAGAACCACGACTGTGATAAGCATTCAAAGCTGGTGTTCCTGTTTCTCCTGCTCCTCAGAACCATTCAAAGCCCAAGCCAAAGAACAGTAGCATCTGTTTCCTCTTTCAGAGGAAGCTCAGGGGTTTCCTTTCCAAATTACACAGTGTGCCTTCCTGCAAACATTGTTAGGATGTCGCACACCCTGGAGTCATTGTGTTTGCAAAGAAGACAAGTAGAACAGTTTGGGTTAAAATACAGGCGAAATCATACTGCCATTATAAACAGGAGAAGCTGTATCTGGGGTGCAAGGCCTCCTGTCCCGCAAAGGAAACAGCACGCCTCCATGGCACTGCTGACAAGTTACCTTCTGAGAAATTTAAAAAAAAAAAAATCACATTGTAAAAGGATGCCCCAGGAACCCAAGACCCCCATCTCCCCTGCTCCCCTCCCATGGCAGGAAGAGGAGAGGCCAAGCACCAGGACACACCTCGCCGCTCCGGCCAGACGCGCCCAGGCCTCACGCATGCGCAGTGCCCGCGCGGCGGCCCTTTCCTGCGCGCGGGTCTGCATCCGGGTCTCCGGGCTGGGTGCACCCCGCGTCGGCTGGGCGCGTTCGCAGGTTGCCAGGTGTCCGTCGGTAGTTCCAGCTGTTCCGGCATCCGGAGAGTCTGTGTGTCCGCAGGTGAGTTTAGGGGGACGGCCCCGAAAACGTGGCTGGGGGGGGGGCTGGGGACCGTTGCTTCCCCCCCCCCCAGGCTGGGGAGGGGCGGGTCTGGGGGTCCCGGAACCGGGGCGGGGCGGGCGGGGGGCTGGGGGCTGTGTGACACATCCGGGGCCTGGCTTCGCGCTGTCCTGGGGCACTGGGGGGGCTCCCTGGCCCCCCTTTCTCACGCCTTCTCCGGACACTTCGTTGGGACATGGTAGCCGTCATCCTGTCTGCAGACTGTAGCTGGCTGCGGGGGGGGGGGGGGGGACGGGGATTGCCCCCCCCAGGACCAATGGCTTTCTGGGAGACCCCCCCTTGCATCAGGATGGGGTCCCCCCACCCCCCCGGGGGTCCCAGACCTTGCAGGTCCCCGCAGCTCCTGGCAGACCAGCCTCTCCGAACTCAGACCCCAGGGCCGGCCCCCGAAGCCCGGCTGCCGGCCGAGTAACTTCGGGGGTGAAGAAGTTGCCGACCACCCCGAAGTTGGCAGCCCGGCCGGCCGCCCCGCTGTCAGGCCGTCCGAAATGAATCAGCACCCGCGGGGGGAGGACGGCGCGCTGGCCGGTTCTCTCTTCTTTTCTGTGCCATCCATCTGACTGTGGTGCCAGAGAATACCCTTCAAGCTAAGTTCGAGTCTCTGAGGACTGGGTAAAAACGGCAAAAGGTGTGTCACAGACATCCTTCTTTCCTCTGGATGAGGACAATTCGTTCAGGATGTTGGAAGTGGACTCTGGGCCAAAACAAAACAATAACAACAACAACAACAACAACACTTCTCTGTACCTTTGCCTGAGAAACTTTGGAATTTTTTTTTTTTTTTTTGCAATGAAATATATGCTGTTCTTTTCCAAGTTTAACCCAATTTTAAAAATCACCTGTGGCATTTGTATGACATTTCTGGGATTTTATTTCAGATATGCTGAAACATCGTCCTAGACAATCAGATAGATGGCATAGAAAAGAAAAGAAAACCCAGCCACCGCGCCCGTCCTGAAAGTCTGTTTTTAAGAAGGACCCTCCTAAGTGATTTTCAATCCATAAGGCTTGTTGGGAACTTGATTGAGTCTTTGAGACAGAAACACTTAAGTCGAATCTCCTGTCAAAGTTCATAGCTTTATGATTTCAGCATACCTTTCTTGGTATGGCAGTTTTCATCTAAAGATTAGAGAATGATGATTTCAATTTTAGAAACTGTCTTTTAACAGTACTATCCCTCTTTAATCCTGCTGGCTGTTCTTACCAGGTGTGTTGGGTAAGTATACCCAGGACACAGAAGACACTTGAAACATTAAATACGGTTTTCCTTCTTCCAATATTCTTTTTGTTAATAATCGGTTCGCTGACCATTCTTATTAGAAGTGGAGATAGATAGATAGATAGATAGATAGATAGATAGATAGATAGATAATCAGTCCTAATAGCCAACAGTTGCTGTTGATTTTTCTGCATAACTCTGAAATTAATTTTTGATGTAAGATTATTGATAAACTTAAATGGAAGGTGAATCCATTTATTAGAGTGAATTTGGCCATCTAATTTTTTTTCCATAAGTGCTATTTGTCTTGTTACTATAACAGAAGTCTAGATGGTGGTCCTTGACTAATTATGGTGATTATAACTATTGTTGTGCCAGGATGCTAAGTCATTACATTCTTAAGAATGTCATCCAGATTCATTGTATACAGATCCATCTGTATTCATTGTAATAAAACCTTCTATTCCCATTAAATCCAAACATTTGAGTTTAACACATTTGACTTAATCATGTAGTAAGTTAAAGTATGGGGATACAGAACTCAGGAATGCTAATGACCTGTCATGAGAAGATGAGTGATAACTCAAAAGATAAAATTACCTTAAGAATTAAAATCTGAAAATTATGATTGTAGAATACAGTGTACATGTGAACAAATCCTCATAACATAAAAATAACATTTCTTATATAAGCCAGGAGGGGTGAATTAGTGCCAGTTCGCACATTTTCATGATAGTACATCAGTCCACAGCCCTTTTTTTAATACTCTTATAATAATCTTTTCAAAACTACACTTGCTTTTTGTGAACAAAATTCCCCTTAGATCTATCAGCACCTTCTTTAGTGAACTTTTTATTTCTTTTAATTCACTTAAAAAATCATAGTAGGACCTCATTCTCAAAAATTATTTCTCTGTATTTCATTCAAATGCATTAGGTAATCTGGAATGATAGAGAACTAATAAAAATGACAATTATTTCGGAGAGGTGGGAATACTTTAACAGAGGGAGATTTGGTTATTTTGTTATTTGTAAGAGGAGTACTGGATTTTAGTAAGTAACTCAAAGTTGCTAAGCAATAATTACAAACATTAACTTGAGTTAATAAATGAGTACCACTTTGTTTATAGGTGCATTTATGTAGCTTTTGTAAGAATCTTTAATATACTGTATGTGGTGTGGTAGGTGTGCTGTCTTTATAAACAGAGTACCTTAATTTGAATTCTTGCCTTGTTACTACCTACATGTCTTGATGGGCCTTGTGTTAACAATACAGTTGTTGGGATTAAGTTAGGCTTTGAAATGACCTCAGTCACCGTGTAAAACCTAGGATCTGCTCAAAAGAGACCAGTCATTATTCCATTTTTGCGAGTACAGGTTGTGTTGTTATATGTGCTCATTCTTTTCAAGTGAAACCCTTTTAAAAATCATCAGTGTATTAAACTTCAGTTTGTCTGAAAATAATTTAACTGCTCTCCAATCATATTTTCTTAGGTTTGAAAACCATAGGTTACCGTAATGAGACTTGTCATTCTGGATAACTATGACTTGGCCAGTGAATGGGCAGCCAAATACATCTGTAATCGTATCATTCAATTCAAACCTGGACAGGACAGATATTTCACACTGGGTTTACCAACAGGTAATAAAAGACATTTTCTACTATATTCATGTTATCTAAGGTTGTGGAATTGTAGGGTTTTCCTTAATGCTTTTCATTTTCATTTATTGACACATCATTGATTTAACCTGTTATTTTATTTATTTATTTATTTTTGGGTCCGGTCGTGGGGCCTGAACTCTGGGCCTGAGCGCTGTCCCTCAGCTCTTCAGCTCAAGGCTAGCACTCTACCACTTGAGCCACAGCGCCACTTTCGGCTTTTTTCTTTTTGCTTATGTGGTGCTGAGGAATTGAACTCAGGGCCTCATGCATGCAAGGCAAGCACTCTACCCACTGAGCCACTTTCCCAGCCCCTAACCTGTTATTTTATAAAGCCAGAAATATAAATAAATTTTTGCTACTATTTCTGTGTTCTCTTTTCCTTATCACTCTACAATGCAATAATTAACTTAAATGATGGCACTCTTTGTACTTTTTCTAGTATTCCTTTGTTTCTAGCATTGCTGTCACTATTCATATTATTTCTATGTTGTTTTAGCCCTTTTATAACCATGGGAGGTACCCAGTGTATGTCCTGTTGTCTCTTAATTTCATATGACTTACTTTATAATGTCCCTTATTGGCCTTTTTTTTTCCTTCTACAATAAAAGTATTCCAAGGAAAAATTTATAGGTTAGTATCTTCACAGAATATACTTAAGCATTAATTACCTCTCATGTTAGATTTAGATTTCGGTTAAGAATTGTCTTAGAAAATATCCAGGTAGTGTCATTTGATTATTTCGGGCTACAAAATACGATGATCATCACTTTGTTCCAGAGTCATAATTCTAAATCATTATGTTCTTAAGAATGCCATTTAGTTTCAGGTATTAATTGTAATAATACCATTTATTTGATATTCTTCACCCTCAGTTCTTTTTGTTAATCTTTCAATTGCAAAGGGTAGTACATCTAAAATCAAAGTGCACCTTACTTGTTCTATATTCCAAGTTTTGATTTTATTACCTGTAAGAAAGATAAAAAATAGTAATAAAATAAAATGCTGTTTGAGGCTCAACAAAGGTCATTGTGTAAGCCCTCTCATATTGTAAATACTGTATGTGTGTGTGTAACTGATAACAAGATCACATTTTCAGGGAGTCCTTTCTATATTAAACAAGACATAACTTTCTCACTTAGGCCTTTTAGTGGGTATGTACTGAAGATGACAGAATATCAGAAACCAGAACTTCAGATAAAAAGCTGACCTCCTCCCCCAATAAAAAAAAAGGTGACAAAGTTCCTCTCAATCTTTTCAGAGTATTGTGGTCAATTTTAAAAGTGGGGCCAGTTAGGTATTTTGGTTGTAGTTTGTCTTTTGATTTAGGAATTAGTAAACATTTAACCTACTAGCATTTATGCTAGAACTAAAGGTTTTTTTCCTATGTGGATATTTGTTTTTATTCAGATATGTTTTGTAGAACATTTCTTTTTCAATTATATTTTATTTAAGTCATTGTCCATAAGTGTGACCATACCATGAATCACTGTATGAATACAATGCATCTTGATTGATGTTGACCCTTTCACCTTTGTCTCCCTACCCTCCCAACCTAACTCCTCACCTCAGTTTTCTCAGTCTCATAAGATATGCTTTAAATATTATTTCTCTCGCATACCCATCAACTCAAGAATATTATTCCAAACATTTTTTTGTGAACAGATTTCCAGTCTTGCTCAGCAAATTCAAGCTTGCAAAGGAAGAACTTCAGCCTATTTTTGTTAGTTGAATATGCATTTAAATTAGTACTTTTTGCCTAACATACTAGGAATATGGAATATTATGAAAAGAATAATTGATGGTATATATTTTTAGTAGATTTTTATTTTAGAAAATGAAATCTCTTTCTTTTAGGGAGTACACCTCTAGGATGTTACAAAAAACTAATAGAATATCACAAGAATGGAGACCTTTCTTTTAAATATGTGAAGACTTTTAATATGGATGAATATGTGGGTAAGATATATTTGAATATGTTGAATAAGTTATTTGAGAATGTTGTATATTATTTTTCAAATAAAATGAATATATCTTTAGATTAATATATTTATGCTGGAATTTGTAATATCTTTGAACTTTCTCTTCCTCTTAGCCCCTTCAGCGCTTTTTTTCACCTAAAGGCATGGATTAACTTGGCATTATATGTGGTGGGTGGTAAATTACATGATGTATATATAAAAGAAGCATAAGAAATAATATTTCTTTGAAATTAAAGACATAGTATTAGTAGCCTTGAGTGTAGAGTTTAAAGATGCTTTACTTAACTGGAACGATCTCTGATGCATAGTAACTTAAAATATAAGTATACCGGAAGTAGCACCATGGCTCAGGCGGTAGAGTGCTCACCTTGCAACTGAAGAAATGAGGGACAGCTCCTAGGCCCAGAGCTCAAGCCCCACTACTGGCTGTCTATCTGTCTGTCTGTTTATCTATCTATCTACACACAAACACACACATATAAGTATATATATATGTATATATGAAAGTATACCTTTTTAGTGGTCACATAAGTGCCAGTTAAAGAGCTATTATGATTAAATATACTTCTCACAAGTCTAGAAAGAATAGAGGATCATGGCTACATTGTAGTTGAATGGTTAATTTGTTTTAATACATAGATTATTTCCTTAAAATTTTGTGTGTATGCAAAATGTATAGTGGTAAAATGTTTTCATCTCAACCCCTGTCTGAGTTGTGTGTCTCAGGAAACGTTCTCTGTGTTTCACTTGTTTATAAATTGAATAAGAACCATAGTAGTGTTTCCATGGATGTTTTGCAGATAAATATAAAGCAGTATCCTTCCAAAATGTACTAAGCATATATTCTATATAGAAATACTTTAAAATTGAATGTGACATAAAAAATTAGATTTATTTCTGGAGAGTTTCATGTCTATTTATTAACTTCATACTTAGGACTTCCAAGAAATCATCCTGAAAGCTATCACTCTTATATGTGGAATAATTTTTTTAAGCACATTGATATAGATCCTAACAATGCTCATATCCTTGATGGGAATGCTGCAGATTTACAAGCAGAATGTGATGCATTTGAAAAGAAAATAAAAGATGCAGGAGGAATAGATCTTTTTGTTGGAGGTATGTAAGAAGATTTTATTAAACTCTTTAAAATTAGAAAAAGTAAAAAAGAAGTCTAACCATTGCACAACATAAAGAGTACCTGTGACTGACTGTAATATCCACTAATTAAAAGCAGAAGTAGTACTGGAAATAGTGATGGAGCTAAAACAGAAAAGGGAGTATCAATTCATGGGAAGGGTGGGGGAAAGAAAGGGGTGATGAAGGAAATTAAAAAGGAACTACATATATACAATAAAGACAATATAATGCAACCCACAAAATGCTTTTAAAGGGGGATGTAGTGTGGGAAGAGTGGGAATACAGTGGAGGAGATAAACTTGTTGAAAGTATACTGTGAGCTTCTCTGGAAATAATACTGTGGTACTCACTCATGTAACAAGTGTATATTAATTTAAAATAAAATTAAACCAAATGAATTGTAGCTTTAAAAATAAACATTATATATACATTATATAATAACATAAATATCTGTGACAATCCACAGTATTCACCTATTACAAACAGAAATAGACTGTCATTTAACTTTGTTTAATCAAATTATAATTTTGAAATTCTAACAGTGGACAAAATCCTTTAGGGCTTGAGAGGTGGGTCCCAAAACCTGTTCTTTCTTTCTTTCTTTTTTTGGTCCCAGAGACTCAAATTTGGTATCTGATGTTTTTGCTCATTGGCTAATGTGTATGATCATTGACTAATGCTAGCATGACTCATACTTCCAACCCATTTAAGAGAGGGTTTGGTTCTTCCTTTTTTATTTTTTTTCTCGATCCCTGTTTAACTATGCCAATTGTCCCTTTAAGGTTTGTCAGTTTACGGAATACTTATCAATTAGGGACTTGTTTATGTTCCTAAATGATAGCTTTAGCTTATATTTCATTTAAGGCAGGATTGAATGTAAAAGTTAGCTTGGGAAATGGGTAGATATTAGAAGATCATTTAAATTGATTCATCTCACTGAGAAAAATCATTTACAAATGATGAAAAGATTGTTTTTATCATCAGTTTTTAAATAATAGGAGTTAAACTGTATAATTGCCTTCATAAATTCCAAAGTTGAATTGACCAACTCCTAGGTGAAGTTTATCTGTATTTTACATTTATGGGTGTATATGTATGTGTACATGTTATATTGAATATAGAATTTCTCCCTTTGTAGTAACAATAAGGTTTTCTGTCATCATATGAAGCATCTGAGACAGCCAGCTAATTAGCTTCAGAATGGTGTAAAAAAAGCTACATAAAACCAAAATTGTTTCTCCAGTTTCTTTAGTTTTCTGCTAAAAATACTGATAATCTAAAGCAACATTAAGATATCTATGTCTAATAATTCATTATAAAGCTCAAAATTACATAAATTAGATGCAAATTGAATTTTACCATGAGACATAAATTAGCATCCCTTTTAGGTCTCTTGCTCTCCTTGGGTCCCTGCTGGATTTATTAAAGCTCAGCATAATGAAATCATTTATAAAACCGGTTAATATGAATCATTCTAAAATTGTGAAGACTAAATATACTCTTACATGTTAAAATGCCTAAAGACAGTGGTTAGCATATAGCCTGTAGTTGGTATACTTCAGTCTTTTCCTTCCCTGAAGTGTAGAGGCTAACATAGTTGTCCCTTAGCTTATTGAATTTCCTGAGATTTTTGCTGAGTTATTTATAAACATATCCAGAGAGAATGAAATCTTCTCTGAGGAAATTTTGATTCATGTAGCAGAACTGGTAACATTCATCTTCTTCTGTAGATAGATGATTATTTATCTGAGCAAGAATGCAAGCTTACTAATTTGTATTTCAAAATAGAATGCCATCTGTGCTTTAAATAAAGTCTGCTAGTATCACTTTAGCAGTCCTTACTTGCACAGTCCAGTTTATACAAATTTCTCAAATTTGAGATAATTACCATTTTGCTTCCAATATTTAGATGGAAACTTTAGATGTTTGAGGATGCTTAAGCAGTATATTATCCACTTACTCTTCAGATTTTCTAAACTCCATGTCAAACTGAACTCACACTACTACAATATCTTATTTCTGAATTTTCTTTCATAAAAATGTTTTCACCTGTTTACTCTTCTGTGAAAAAAAAAAAGCATATTAGCTGGTAGTGGTTAATCAATTTTAAAAAAAGGATCTTGAGTCAGTAAACATAATGGGTCAAGCCTGTAATCCTAACTACATGGGAAGTGGAGATCAGGCAGATAATGGTTCAAGGCTAGTCTGGGCAAAGAGTTGGGCATATTCTATTTTTCCCAATAAAAAGTTGGGTGTCATGGTGTGTATCTGTCATCTAGGCTATGTGGGAAGAGTAAATAGGATAATTGTAGTATAGGCCAGTGTGGACATAAATGCAAGACCCTATATAAAAAATAAGGAAAAGGAATGGCGCAGGCTGAAGTATTAGAGAAGCCTGGCAAGCTTGAAGCCTGGAGTTCAGACTCTACTACCACTAACCCCTCCCCCCCCAAAAAAAACACTAACAAAAGAAAACAGTATGTTAAAAAATGTCTTCATTCTGGACATTTCTTTGTTGTTAATTCATTGACTTTACATGAGGACCCCTGAGGCAAATCCCTTGAAGGTGCAATGCCAGCAGGCAGGATTTGCAGAAGGGAAAATACATCAAGGACTCTGGAACTTCTTTTGCTTGCTTTCCAGAAAGTTTTCATAGTTCTGGTGTGATGTGTAAGAATGCAACTCTGTTAATCCAATATTTCTGATACAGCACTCATCCTCAAGAGTCATCTTCCATACCTTTAAGTCATTTCAAATTTATTTTAGTTAAATGACTTCTGAACGTTTTATATGTTTCCTCACACAGACCACCTTATTTCTCCCTTCAAAGTAATGAAACATAAATTCTAGTTATGTTTATGTTTTCTAACCAATCTGGGTAAAGCTTCCTCTTGCTACATTTTCTTCCTCTTCCTCCTCCAAACAGAGAAAGGAAACATTTTTTAAGAAAGTTTCTGGCTTCCCCACTGAAATCTTCATTATAGTCTGACGGCCCAAGATCTGACATTTTATTTGTCAGGTATAATTACTAAAGGACATAATTACACTGTGCACGAAGATAGAAATTAAATATTATGTTTATGTTTCCTATATGGAATAACTTAATTATTGCATCTGCACTGGAAAGAATCTCGTTTGATTACTGGCATTTGTTGACTAGGTTTTATAATTGGAATTTTCAAGATGAGGCTTAGTATCTGGGTCTTACCACTTGCCCTTCTTTTATTCCAGGGCTTGGTTAATAAACACTAAGAAACTGTGCCAAGTGGGATCAAAATGTCAGCTTTATTAAAGGTAAAGTGGGAATAGAGATTGTAGGTGGGGCTTGAAGCCAAAATGGGGTTTTCTTCTCCCTCTGAACAGATAGGACTAGAGGAGATCAAGATTGCTGACCTACTGTTGGTCACTTCAAGGAATTAGAGTAGAAATTCTGTTCACTTGATAGAAAAGAGAGAGGAGAAAGCACATATTCCAAAACGTTCTTTCTTCCTCTGATGGTAAACATGTTGAGAGACATGTAAGGTGAATCTAAATATATTAGTTTACAATATTTTAATATCTTTTATGAAGTAGAGAGGGGACAATGTGACATTTTTGTTGTTTTGGCTTTGTTTCATAAATGATTTACGTGGTTTATAGTAACAAGGACTGACAAATAGGACAAAAATAAATTAATTGGAATGATTCTTGGGCTAACACACAAAACAGAAGGAAGAGTTCAAACAACCAAATCTTTGGAAAGAACCAGAGAACTTCAGGTCTCAGAAGCAGGAATTCAGCAGCCTTCTTTCTTCAGTTCTGTCTTCATGATCTTAGTTCTAGTTGACTAGTTGACTCCTTTTCTTCTTTTTTATTTTTTTTTCCTATGTAATAGGTTCAGACTCACATCTAGAGAGCTATTCTGACTGGTTCAACTTGGGACAAAGTGCTTATCCTTAGATTCCAGTTACTAGCAGAAAAATGGTTGTTCTAAGACACTGTAGTGAGGAGAGTAGAACAGATAACTAGAGGAAGTAATATGAGCCTTTCAATCATCTATTCATTAATTCAACCATTTTTATTGAGTACTTCCTATTTAGAACAATTGTTCTATATGGCTAAGATACAGTAATGAACATAAAGTCTTTACTCTCATAAATTTAAGTTTTATCCAGAAAACTAAAGGAACAAACACATACAAGTTTCTTAGATATTTCATTGAGTCAGTGTTTGTTTAATTTAGTCTTAAAGACCAAATAAGAAATAGCCTGATTATTTTTATGAAAGGTCAGGGCTTCTGTTTTTAAGTTACATATGACCAATAAGTGAAACTGTTGGCTCCTGTATATTACCCTTAGATTATAATTTCAGGTTAGCTTTACACTTCTATGGGTTCCAAATCACCAGTAAGAATACAAGAGTTACTCCTCATAGATTTCCTATTCAGAAGCTATTTTAGTTTTAGTTCTCTTTATACAAAGCTAGAGATAAATGTACAAGCATAATGCAAACATGTATTTACAGGCAAATATGTACTTAATATTGCAAATAATCTTTGTATATTAATGACATGTAGATCCTCATTTGAAAAAACATATGTCCTCACATTACAGATACCTAGATTTCAGTCATCAGTATTTGCTTCATATATTAGTTTCTTTCTTCAACCTTTAAAACTAGATAGATTACGCTGGCATATTTTACTATATTGTAATTTTGTAATTCACCTCAGGAAATTTTTATTTGACTTGTATGTAACGTGTACCTTTTTGTTATAATAAATATGTAGAATATAAATGTAAAGGACTCTTTAGGGTAACCGCTGACACCTTGTGATTTGAGTTTTTGATTGAAGTTATAAATATGATTACTAAGAAAAGGATATTAAAAGAATTTCTTTTATAGCATCTTGATTTTCTGTAAAGAATTACCTCTCATTTTATTGAAAGGAATACCATATTGTTACCTATATTTTAGCATCAATCCCAGAAAATTACAGCTCTCTGTAGGTCTCTTAAAAGCAGTGTTTTTCACTAAGAAATCGGTATCATCAATCACATAACAGCATTTGTTTTTGCTTTATTTATGAAATGGAATGTGATAGCATACCTTGGCTTGGCACCATTGACACAAACCTACAAATCTATTCTATAATTCTACTCGGGAGGTTGAGATCCAAAGATCACAATTTGAAGCTAAATGGAGATAGAGCTCAAAGTTGAGCACCAGCCATAAGCAGATAGGCAAGGGAGAAAGAAGCCCTAAGTTCAAGTCCTGGTACTGGTATCACACACACACATACACACACAAAAAAAATAAATTAAAAAAAAGCGAAAGGAAGGAGGGAGGGAAAAGAGAGAAAGAGATGGGAGAGGAGGATGAGAGGGTAGAAAGATGATACAGAAAAGAGGAAAAAGAGAGGAGAGGCTTGTATAACTTCTAGTAAGGGTGTGTGTGTGTGTGTGTGTGTGTGTGTGTGTGTGTGTGTGTGTGTGTGTGTGTGTGTGTGTGTGTGTGTGTGTGTGTGTGTGTGTGTGTGTGTGTGTGTGTGTGTGTGTGTGTGTGTGTGTGTGTGTGTGTGTGTGTGTGTGTACACATGCATATACACACTTGAGCATAGTTTAAATGTTTATTTATCGAAACAGGCTGCAGTCAGAGTGTTTGGAAAAACCAACTGGATATTATCTTGTCTAGTCTGTTTTAATAAGTGAGGAAATAAAGCTACAAAGGAGGAAATAAAGCTACAAAGGAGGCCCCTTATTTAATTGTCCTATCAGGACGCAAAATCAGAAGACTTCTAACTTTGTATGAGTAGCTTATTATTTCCTTGAGCACCAACATTTTCTGTTTGTGTTTACCAAAAGCTGGAGATAAGAGAAATAGGTGTGTCTGTAAACCAGATTGTTAGATATATGGGTTGTGATGATATATGTGAAAGTGCTTTATAAAGTGTTACATTAAGGTGATAATTAGTTTCATGTTATTATAAGAATTATGCCACCTCAATACTGTGCATATAGAAAATATGGAAGTATTTTGTTAAATACTTCCATATTTAAATGCAATATTAGGAATGCAGCTAATAAAACAAGGTAGGTGTTTTATGATTATTTGTTCTTGAACCATGTTCAAGTTTGAGAAGACTTTGTATCTAAGAGATAGTTTACTTTCTGTGTGTATCTGTGTATATGTTTCTTTTGAAAGGAATAGGTCCAGATGGTCATATTGCTTTCAATGAGCCGGGCTCCAGTTTAGTATCAAGGACAAGATTAAAGACACTAGCAATGGACACCATTTTGGCAAATGCTAAATATTTTGATGGAGATTTATCAAAAGTCCCAACTATGGCTCTAACTGTTGGTGTGGGGACAGTGATGGACGCTCGAGAGGTAATAATGAAATCGTATTTGAGCTTTTTTCACTGATGTTTGTTTTGTAGTGATTATGACACAGAATAAGCACATCCTATGAAACTTAATATGTAATAAAAACTGTGATTTAGGGCTAGGAGGTAGCTTCGTGGCAGAGTGCTTGCCTAGCAAGTGCAAAGTCCTGGGTTTAATCCCTGGTACCAAAAAGAAAAGACAAAAAAATAACAACAAAACAATCCTGTGATTTAGTTTTTAGGGATTCCATTTTGTCTATATGTAGGAATCACCTGATTTTAAATCTTTTGGAACTATAACCTAAGAATTAGATCCTTTTTTTTTCAATACCACTTTACCTGTCTATTCCTATTTCACATTTTCAGATCCCAAAATCTCATTAACCATATGGTTTATTTTCAGTTGAAACAGTTTTGTGGAAGGACTGTGGGGACATAGATGTAATAGCACCCTACACCCTACTGGAGTCCTCAGGATGACTTAGTATGGAGTCCCTCATGATGTATGTAAGAGGATATAGCTCAGTTTCCAGATGAAGATGAATCCATTTAGGGCTGGATCTGTTCTAAATCTAATACATTTAGGAATATATGAACTCCGATCAGGAGATCCTGCCTATTTCAGTTCTTAATTGTACAATGATCTCCTTCTTTGAAAATTACAGGATGAATTATACTTTGTGATTATTAATGGTTCATTATATGGAAATTCTTTGCCGGTAACAAGATTGAAAGGTTCATAGAAAGAGGACAGACAAGCTATGATGATATGTAATTATGTCTAGACTTGAATGTACAAACAGAACTCATTTAAAACATGAGTTTCTTACAACCATCATGAGTTGTATCTATGTCCTAGACATAAACACCCAGGTGACTGATTATTCATCCCATCCTAAACTCTCATCAGCCTTCTTTAGATCTTTTTTCTTCATATGGTCAATGTTTTTGCAAGGCAGCGCTGTTTGTCTCATTTTTTTTTTCTCCCTGGTCTCCTCAAACACCAGTATCTTCTGTTATTAATTCTATTGACTATTAACTAACAAGTGGTACTTATGCTTTTTCAGGTAATGATCCTTATAACAGGTGCACACAAGGCATTTGCCTTGTACAAAGCCATAGAAGAAGGAGTCAGCCACATGTGGACAGTTTCAGCTTTTCAGCAGCATCCTCGAACTATTTTTGTGTGTGATGAAGATGCTACTTTAGAATTAAGGGTTAAAACTGTGAAATACTTTAAAGGTGAGCATTGACTTCCAAAACAAAGTGTGAGATGTTCTGTTGTAAATGATAAAACTTCCTGTGATCAGAAGTAAACCCTACACTGGCACCGTGCTGATACATGCCAGTGTTTTCAAGAAACAAAACTTTCACCTCAGATAATAGTAGCTTACAGAGACATTTCCTGTTTTGTTTCATGAAGGAATTTCTTCTGTCTAGATTTTCATGTTACTTTTCTTCCAATCCAAAACTAAGTAAAGTATTTTCTTTCCTATTGATTATACAAGATTAAGCAGCCATGCTATTCTTCTGGGTTTCTTCCTCATTTACTAGTCTCATCTAACCCACTACCTGGACAGGCATATGCTAATTTTCCTTGTTTTTTCTTGTGGTGCAGTTTAGTAATTCACAAACATAACTGAACTAGTTTGTGTATAAAGTCATCATGTATCCCTGGCATAATTGGTGGTTAGGAGATTTTTCAAGGAACATTTTAACTTCACTAAGTATGGTGACATCTGTGACTAACTGTGGTCCATATGTAAGCCAAAATACATAAACTATTAAAACTATTTAAAACAGCTGTATTTATGTAGCTGATATTGAAAGTAAATTTGTGTATCCTTATGATACACAAATTTATATATTTATGCTACTCCTGCACATAAGTGTATATGCCCTTTTACTGAAGTAACTGTTTAACAGGTATTGGGAAAATGTGCTTGACAAATCAAAACTATGTTTCATGAATATCACTGCTTAAGTCAAGGTTAAGAAAGTTATATCTAATTGTCTCTAAAATACATTGATCTTGATGGAAATTGATATATGTCTTAAACTTGGTGTCATCATAGCTTATCAGTAGTGTTTTCTTAATGATAAAATAATGGTGTCCTACATCATATAGCACCTTATATTCAGAAATTTAGTATATTAAATTTACAATTAAAATTTCCAGGGAAACCAATAAATTATAGTGCATGTAAATATTTCAGTATGGGAAAATAATGAAGGTGTGTTATACAAATGATCAAAAGTTTGGCAGACACTGAAAATAATACCTTGGTAACAAAGTTTTAAACATGTTGTGAATATACTTGCATTGTATTTGTTCTTGTATTTTATATTTTACTCTTTTACTAAATATTCTCCAGCTGCCTTTTAAACAAGATACCTAGCTAAGTAGATGCATCATATTTAATTTTGTCAATTATATTTCTATAGTTCATACAAACCACACAAATGTCAAATTAAAATAGAACAGTTGGCTTTTTTGTACTTTGAGAAGTGGAAGCACTGAGTACTTCAGTTGGTTCTACTCATATGTTTTCCTGTAGTCTTCCAGATTGTATGACCAGTAAGCAGTAGCTTTCTGATATTAATCCAGGAAACCATCTTCATCTACAAAATTTAATGCCAGCTTTAAGGTGTTTAACAAATCCATTTTCCAGTAATCATATCCTCAGATAAACCCTGCACTAGGGTGATTGTCACAATTTTTTTTAATCAGAAGATGTTTACATTTCAGGTTTTACTAAATAATAGCAGTACTTTTACAACTAGAAACTAGTCTACATGCACTGTATTAATCTATGTACCCAGTTCTTATAAGAGTAAGTACTGTGAGGCAATTTCTCTTTTACTTCCATTTTCAAATGTATTAACATGCCTAACAGACAGTTGGTTAGTAACTTACGTTATGTAGCTCATCTGTGAGCAGTGCTGGATAATTGATGGGCTTGCCTGGAGTCGGAGCTTTTGTCCACTCTGTCATGCTGCCTTCTAGAAGAATAATGCCTATATCAAACCATATTCCTCTGTTTTATATCTTATAGCAGTACTGTAAGCATTGCTTCTTTTAAAAGTATAGACATAATTTAGGGAAATGTGTATTTTGTACATATTTAGATTTTTTAGTGTATCTACATAGACCCTAAGCTCTTCTAAGAAGAGCTTAAAATATTCATGAAAGGACTGTTGCTTTGCTATATAGAGGACATTGCATCTTCCACTTTGGAGCTGTTACATTTCTGATGAGGTTTTAATGTGTGATGTCTGATAGAAAAATGGGGTCAAGTTACTCAGTGGACAGAGCTATCTCTTGAATCCCATTTGGCAGTATTTATAAGTATTCACATTAACTATTTAGCATGTCCTATAGTACATCATATCAAAGTCCTGGCAGAAATTAATCCTATGTGAAGTTGTTATTTGTAATTTTTCAAGTTCCACTTAGGTCATTACCCTTTTTTCTGTCATCACTACAACATGCCAACATAAACCTTAAAAATATTATAATTATTTAATTCCTAAATAAGAAGTAATAGCTATAAAACACTAATGGTTATTAGTAAATGGAACTTTATTTCATTATATATTCTTTGAAAGACACAAGTTGAATACTTGAGAATTTTATTATAGCTACTTATTTTTGCCCTTTTCAATAGGTTTTGTGTCCTTGTGTTGATATTTTTTCCTGACATTCATATTGTTTAACTTTTTTTTTCTGTTTCTCTTTAAGCTAACCTCTTGACAGGGAGAAGTGAGTTGCTATTTCAAGAAGTATAGTGCATTTTTATCAGTACTCAGAAATATTTAGTTAATTTTATGACTTGAATACCAATTATATGAATTTTTTATATAGACAATTGTACAGTTTAAAAACAAACACATTTTATAATGAGTTGGATGTTTAGTGCTTTTCATAATTTTTTAGTGTTTTAAAGTTCTACTGTATTCTATAATCTTGCCCATGTAATTGTAACCCCTCTGTATGGTATTTTTCACAATAAAAAAAAAATTGTTGGCAGATAGATGAATTCTAGTAAGTGGAAAAACTGTCCTAAGATGACATTTCTTCTGAAACTACCCTTTGTTGCATCCTCTCCCACTAGAACTCATAAGGGTTATGGTGCTGGTTGGACCTTGAAGTAGATTACTTAGACGTCAACATTGTTCCTTTCAGTTGCACTAAACTGGAGTGCTTCCCCACTTCCTATTTGGAAGATCTCTGTTAGGGTTTTCTCCCTCTGTATGTTGCTATTTGCTTGCCCTCGAGGAGTGGATTTTTTGTGTGTGTGTATGTGTGTGTGTATCCTATCTCCCCAAACTAACAATACAGTTTTCTGAAGAAACTGCCTCTTCCCCAACCTCTCCTAGGTTCTTAATGATGCTTAATTATCTGGAAATTTTAACTAGTTTCTTTAGCTTGCATGCAAAGTATACAATCTTTAGTTTACTGCCAAAGACAGTATTTTATTTTTTATCAACTTTTTCTTCTCAAAGAAACTTAGTACTTACACACATATGATTAACTGGAAGATGAGTTATTTACCAAAATTCAGTAGGTTAGAATGATTTACAAGCATATATGAATCTTACAAAAGTGAAATTTAAAATTAATTTAACTTTATACCTATATTTAGACTCTATAATTTAATACAGGTTTCTACTCTATTGCTTTAGGAAAGCTCCCTCAACTTGTAATGGTTAAGGTTGTAATTGAGCCTTTTTATAAATACACATTCTAAAATAGTAGAAAATACTGTGACAGTTGAATGCATATCGGTTTTTTGTTTTTTTTTTTAGGACTGAAGCTGTACCAATGTTATAGCAATTTTTAAGCCCATCAATGGAGTATAGTAGAGGAATTGCCAGATCAAAATCAACATAAACTTTTAGGTGTAATGTATTTATTAACCAAGTCATACCCAATTTTGCTATCCTATCATACAGATTAAAGACAAGAACTTAATCTAGCTTTAGTTATTTCTAAAATACCTGTGTACATTCTAGAGCTACACTATTTATTTATTTGGAAGTAACCATTCAGAGGATTTCTATTTGTATTTTTTTCAATAAACTTGTTTTGTAACAGATGGACCAAATATACCTAAAAAAATCTGTTTTTTTCTGAAGGAAATGAGATAGGTCAAAATTAACATAACACAACTGGAACTGTGGCTTTTTTTCTTTAAGGTTTAATGCATGTGCACAATAAACTTGTGGATCCACTATTCAGTATGAAAGAAGGAATTTGAAGGAGACTGGAGCAAAATTCTGCTTGAAAGAAAGAACACTTTTTTATTACAGAAATTTTCTGCTATGCAATATAATTATGGGAAATTTTGAAGATTGCCATTTAAAAATACATGTTAAACATTCCATCTTTAGATTTAGAAGTAGTTTGTGCTTAAATTTGGTTGGCTGTTTCTTAGAAAGTACAGAAGCTCTATAGCCTCCTGAAAAATAGCATAGAAATGAATGTCTGCCTAGTTAAAGCTTGTTTTAGAAAGATTCTGCACATCAAGTGTGTCATAGATGTCTATTTTTTAATTATGAAATGACACTCCACATCTTTCTGATGTCAAATCCCTATTATCACAGACCTTTGCTGTTGGAAGAAGCCTGTATTTTCTGTGAGTCACACATGTTTCTGCACGTGATTGCCTTAGTCATCTTTCTGTAGTAGTAACCTGGACATCAGATGTCCTGTTATACATTGCTGGTTAAGGAAATCTGAAGAGATAACAGTGCCTAAAAGTACAGTTTACATCTTTTTGCAAAGTGTGTGTAAATGTGTTTTTGTGTACCTTCTATTGCACTTTTTTTACAAATATGCTTATTTTTATTTAATGGTCTCATATCCTTAATGAGTATCTTGGCAGTTATGAGCTTTATACCTAGTTAGCTTCAAACTGAAGATTATTCTTTTGAAAAGTATTTTGATTATTGTTAAATTTCATTAGCAGCTTTTGTTTCATATATGTGAAATGTCTAAAGTGATAAAATGAAGTGTATATAAAAGGAATCACTGTATACTATTTAAGATTGTCCTAACAATTTGCATAATTAAATTGCAAATAAAATTATATCGTTTTCTATCTTTAACTCAAATAAAGCTTACAACATTAATAAAAGATTATTTAAATTTTATTTGCAGAAGTGAAATAAAGAACACATGCATTTGGGAGATTCCAACTATTAATAGTCCCTGTGAGTCCGAATTTACTTTTGATAGTTGCCATCATGTAGTTAGGAGACTTAAGATAGCATTTCTGTCCATATTTTCCTTAGTCTTGCTCCAGGGAGAATAAAATGATGTTCCCTATCCTCTGTGTATCTTATATTCTGTAAACCCATACTTTATTATCTTTGTAACTGATAGAGAATAAAATAGTGCTGCATTAATTCCAGATTATGATGTACTAATAGTCATAGTTTTTTTTCTTTTAAAATGCATTTACAAAAGTGAATGAACTTGAATAAAAATACTAAATAGTAATTTAGATGGTGTCTGGCCATGGGAAAATAGTGAAGGTATTACACAAATGTATGAATGCTGGGAAACCCTGCACAGAGATTTTTACATGGCCTCAAGTCATTTAAATATCTATTATGGCTGGGCGCCAGTGGCTCATGCCTATAATCCTAGAGAATCTAGGCTCAAAGTCACCCTGGGCAGAAAAGGCAGTGGGTTTTTGTGTGGGGGTGGAGGGTGTGGAGAAGGTCATGAGGCCTGAACTGTAGGCCTGGGCTCTGTCCCTCAGCTCTTCAGCTCAAGACTAGTGCTCTACCACATGAGCCATGGTGCCACTGCTGGCTTTTTCTGCTTTTGTGGTGTTCAGGAATCGAATCCAGAGCCTCATGCATGCAAGGCAAGTACTCTACCACTGAGCTACCTTCCCAGCCCCTGCAGTGGGATTTTTTTCCAATTAAAGAGCAAAATGGTATGGCTCAAGTAGTAGAGCACCAGCCTTGAGCAAAAAAAGTTAAGGAAGAACTTGAGGTCCTGAATTTAACCCCAAGTATTAGCATATACAAACACAAAAATAATTTCTGGGACATCACCTCCCCTTGGGATCATAGTTCTGAAATAAGTGTCTTTAGTTTCAGGTTCATCTATGCAGTAGCCTTCTGGAAAGCAAAACACATTAAGAATCTCAATGCACTGAAAATAAAGCTGAGCCCTCCTATATGCACTAGCCGAGTTCTTCTTGCCAGTAGGTGGTTAGGCCATTCTGTCAAGAGCTTTGGCCAAATATTAAAGAATCAACTGTTGTGTTCTTCTGCATCATCATCCTATCTCACCCCTTTCTAACCAGCATTCTTGCCAAGCTATTACGTGTAACTTTTCTCATCACTACGACAAATACCTGGCAGAAACAACTTAAAGAGAGTGTGTTCAGCTCATGGTTTTAGTACATCAGGTGTAGGAAGGGTGTGGTAGAACACAGAATTTGACATGGGGACCAGGAAGCAGAAAAAATGCCCGTGTCCTTGTAAATGACTAAAATTGTTTACTAAAAACAACTCTTACAATCATAAGTTATATAATAAGTGTAAAAGCTATAGGTGTCTTTTGGTATGCTACTGTGTTGCTTCTGAGATTTAAAGGTATAAGATCTCTTTCTCATTATAGCAATGATTATGTTCAGGTCCTCCTCAAGTACTTCAGCAGAACTGTTCTCTGGCCATTACAGCTCCCTATCTCAGAAGAAACAATGCTTTAAGAAACTTAGAAGCCTATGAAAGACATTTCACAAGGAGCAGTAAATTTGTTTACCTTTGAAGAAGGAAACCATTGTTCCAAGTTCTATTTGTCAGTGAAATCTAGACAATAAATGTCAGCTTCTTTCCATCTGTTGTTCTGTAGTTTTTTCTCTGTTGTTATGTAGACTGAATGAGGGAAGACTGGATTCTGCACCTTGGCTGACACATATCAAACCTAATGTTGGCTACCCTAATAACCATATCACTGTTAGCAAAAAGGTGTTCCTGGGGAAACATTTTAAGGGCAGACAACTCCAAATCACTAATATCAGCTGGCTATAAAAGTGGCTATAGAAGTTAAGCTTACATTAAAAAGTCTAAAAAATACTTTCCTTGTACAGCTATGATTAGTACAGATAATATTTCCTAGAATCATAAAGAATAAAATTTGCTGAAATTAAAAAAAAAAAACCTAGGAGAACCATAGTGTATATCGTGCCAAATAGCAGCTTGTGACTTCCTTGATGAACAGAACACGTTTAGAAGCCAGCTAGATTTTCAAAACTATTGTCTTGAGTTTCATATTTCTCTTTTGTCACAGCTAGAAGGGAGAAGTTTATATAATTAGGACAAACAACCTCCAAGCCTCACTATTCATAATTATGTCTTAATATAAGCAACTTATAGTAAAATTCAAACTCTTCACTCAAGGTAGAAGACAACTCATTGGCTAAATTATTTTATTATAGTCTAATATTCATTGAATGAATGTGAGAGCTTGCTAAGAGATTCGAATCAGCCACTTATTGGTTGTGTGAAATGAGGTCTGAAATTAATGAATAATAGCTTCTGACCAAAAACCTGTATTTTGAATATCAGAAATAAGACAGTTCCTTTCCCTAACTTAACTTATATGTATATTGTAAACCATTTAACTTCAAACTGACACGATAAAATATACTAACTTTAAAAGCTAAAACCTATGTTTAAGCACTATGTTGTTTACTCATCTAATAAATGATGGATAAATATGAGGTAAATTGGTCTAGATAAAATTTGACACTTGTGGTCTTAAGAGAATCCATTTACTTAAATCAGATGGAACCTCAACTGGGCAACTCTTCTAAGTAGAAGTAAAAAAATATACATAGGGGAGAGTTCTCAAGATGGCGACGGGGCAGTAGGGAAACGCCACAGCTCTCTCCAACCAAAAAGAGAGTTCGAGTTCCAACCTTTAATCTCCCCAAGAGACCGACAACAACAAAAAGACGAACACTCAGAGAAAAACCAGAGGTGGAAAATAACAAAAAAAGAAAGAGAGGAAAAGAAGAATTTCAGAACAGAGAAGAGCGAAGACCCCTCCCCCAACCTTTACTGGCCGCGCGGCAGTGCGCCAAGCCGCCGGCCAGCCGGCCCGGAGGGGGCTGCCGGAGCCCCAGAGAAACAGGGGGCTGCTTGCAGATCACCAGGTACCGGATTGCAGAACAGCGGATCGCCAGGAACAGAGAAACCTACCAGCCGGGAGTCTCCAGGAGGATCCCACCCCACCCATCACTCTCCACCGGAGCGGAGAGGCTCCATCCCGCCAAAGCCGCCCGGCACCAGCAGCGCCACAAAGGGACCTGTCGCGATCGCAACGACCCGGCGGGGGGCCGCCCAACCCAGCCCGCAACCACCCCAACTGAACTCGGACTGCAACAACAACTGACGGACTGCAACAACAACTGACGACCTACAGGGTGAGTACCCATCAGGGGACAGGGAATCCATCAAGGGAGACCAGAGCTGGAGGGAATCCCCAGACCCTGACCTAGACTCCCTACCCCAACACCCGGACCACAGGACCCACTAAAACTGGGAACTGTTCGAGAGCCCCACCAGCCGGTGGAGCACACTCTGCTGGCCAGGCCAGAGCAAGAGCGCCCCGGGAAGGGAGCTTAAATGCTCAAGCCAGGAACAGTGCCCCTGGGTCAAGACTACCAACAGTAGAAGAAATTTGAACTGTGTCCTCCAGGCTGCATAACCAAGGTGGTATACACATTAGCACAGGCCTAACGAGCGCGCTCCAGGCTGGGGCCGGAACCAGGCCAGGGGACCGGCGCCTGAACAAAGCAAAAAGGGTCAGAAGTGGGGCTGTGGCTCAAATGGTAGGGTGCCAGCCCTGAGCTGAAGAGCTGAGGGACAGCACCCAAACCTAGAGTTCAAGCCCACAACCAGCCCAAAACAAACAAAAACACATCAGGAGCCCATAGCAGACTCCAGTATTTGGGAGAGGGCATCCAGAGCATCTGATCTTCCCAAGAGCACCCGCAGGAGCAAACACAAGCAGTCTAGGCTGCTCAACCCTTCCAAAGGCGGGAATTGCTACAGCAGAGAGCTGAGAATCCTAAGTGAATAGCAGCTGGAAATAGGCTCCCAACAGAATCCAGATCAGACACAGACTCTCTCTACCAATAGAGAATCAGCAACCAAGCAAAGACAGACACACCAAAACAAGATTGAAGAGCAGTCTCCTGAACCCCCATGCGAAAATCACAGAGAAAAATCACAAGGTTTACCACTACCCAGGACAGCAAGCTCACCTCAAAAGCCAGCAGCCACGCAGGGGAGAGCCCCAGTGGGAGCAAAGCAGGAATGGAAGACAAAAACTACATCCAAGGGTTGCTGGAGGCAATGACTCAAGAAATAAAGCGAGAAATGGATCAGAAATTGAAAGAGCACAAGGATGAACTATCAAAAGATATACAGGATATCAAACAAAAATTGGATGCAAAAATAGAAGCTGCACAAACCTCAGTAAGAAGTGAGATAAACGCCAAATTAGAGGTAATGCATACTGATATCACCTCATTGAGAGGTGAGATCAGTACTCTGAGAACCAACATTGAATCCATAAAGGGATCCATTTCCATCATGCAAACCACAATAGAAGCCACGGTCAACAGAGTGAATGAAATGGAAGGTAGAGTGTCAGATACAGAAGACAGAATACACCAACTGGACCAAAAAGTGACAGATATGGAAAAATCACTCAAATTAAACCAAAGGGAAATTCAAGAGCAAGCAGATAATGCTAAAAAATTTAACCTTCGCATAATCGGAGTGGACGAAGGTGAGGAATTCCAGAGCAAGGGAATGCAACACCTATTTAACAAGATAGTCAATGAAAATTTTCCCCACCTCAAAAACGACCATCTTAACTACATCACAAAAGCTTATCGAACACCCAACAAGCAAGATCCCAGGAGAAACACTTCTAGGCACATAATAGTAACAATGATGGATCTGAATAATAAGGAAACAATCCTGCATGCAGCAAAAATGAAGAAGGAGCTATACTACAACGGGAAAAAAATTAGAATCACTGCAGATCTCTCCACACAAACAATGAATGCAAGAAAAGCCTGGGAAAGCACCATACGAGCCCTGAGAGCCAATAACTGCCAACCCAGACTGATATACCCGGCAAAGCTAGCATTCACATTCGATGGAGAACTGAAAACTTTTAATAGCAAAGAAAAACTAAATGAATACATAAACATTAAGCCAGCATTACAAAGAATTCTAAGAGGGGGGACACAACCTGAAGAAAGCAACCAGGAACTGGGACCTGCCCCAAACAGGCATTACTCAAAGTCTAACTGAGCAAGCACAGGAGGAAAGGAAAGAAGAAAAACTTAGGAAAACGGAATGGCAGGGACAACAATGCATCTCTCTATACTTTCTCTTAATATAAATGGGCTGAATTCGCCAATTAAAAGAAAACGAACTGAGGACTGGATCAGAAAACAAGACCCATCCATCTGTTGCCTTCAGGAGACCCACCTCTCAGCCAAACATACAAACAAACTCAGAGTGAAGGGGTGGAAAAGGATCTACCAATCAAATTCCCCCAATAAGAAAGCAGGTGTAGCTATCCTGATATCTGACAAAATAAACTTTTCATTAAAATCAGTACAGAAAGACAAGGACGGACATTACATATTAATAAAGGGAACAATCCAAGAGGAGGATATAACCATCATCAACTTATATGCCCCAAATATCGGTGCACCCAGATATGTTAAACAAATGCTCTCAAACTTACAGAATAAAATAGATCCCAATACGATAATACTAGGAGACTTTAACACGCCACTCTCACCAAAGGACAGGTCTACCAACCAGAGGATTGGCAAAGAAGCTACCGAATTAAGTGAGGCCATACTTCAAGCGGAATTAACTGACATCTACCGAGTATTTCACCCTAAAACAACACAGTACACATTCTTCTCAGCAGCTCATGGAACTTTCTCCAAAATAGACCATATCATAGTTCATTCAAGGAACTTAAGCAAATACAAAGGGATCGACATAATCCCCTGTATCCTATCTGACCACAGTGGAATCAAGCTAGCTCTCAATAACAAAGCATACCGCAGAAATTTCTCTAATACATGGAAATTGAACAGCACACTCCTTAACAAGGCCTGGGTAACAGAAGAGATCAGAGAAGAAATAAAGCATTTCCTAGAACTCAATGAAAATGAAAACACCTCACAAAGAAACTTGTGGGACACAGCAAAAGCAGTCCTGAGGGGCAAATTTATTGCCCTCAGTGCCCACATCAAGAGAATGGAGACAGACCAAGTAAATAATCTCATGTTGCAACTAAAACAGCTAGAAAAACAAGAAAAAATGGGACCTAAAGCTACTAGACGAAGCCAGATAACCAAATTGAGAGCAGAGATTAACCAATTAGAAAATCAGAAAACCATAACCAAAATAAACCAAACAAAAAGCTGGTTCTTTGAAAAAATAAACAAAATTGATGGCCCGTTGGCAAGATTAATTAAAAAAAGAAGAGAGGAAACCCATATTAATAGGATTAGGGATGCCACGGGAAACATCACAACACGTACCCAAGATATCCAAACAATTCTAACAGACTACTTTCAAAAGCTATACTCTCTAAAGGAAGAAAATCTGGCGGAAATGGATGCATTTTTAGAGAAATACAAGTTACCCAAACTGAGCAAAGAAGAAGTTAACCAATTAAATAAGCCAATATCCTATAATGAGATACAGGAAGCTATCAAAAGTCTTCCAACAAAAAAAAGCCCAGGACCAGATGGATTCACAGCAGAATTCTATAAGACCTTTAAAGAA